CTTCGAGCTCATTTGGGCTCGAGTAAAACGTTTAGTTGCAAGAAGAACCACGACATTTTAAATTGAAGATGCTATTCAAAGAGTCCTTAACAAATGTCGAATCCGACAAATGGCGAAAATGCAGTATGTAATGAAAGAAGAGGAATTAGACCATTCAATTGAGAAAATTGTAGAACCTTCAATCACAACATTCGGCGAAGATTCGAATTGATCTGATGACAACACACCAGAGTTTTTGCTTATACCTAATATCTTTTCCAATGAGCATACCATTATTATACAAATATTTCAAAATGAAAAGTTATAACAATAATATTTGTATAAAAATGATTAAACATAGTTATCAGTTTTAATAAGTATTTTTGATTAAATGACCAAACGCACTACACTGCAGGTATAAAACGACTCGAAAGCTCATAAAATCTTTTATTTTCGACCCTTATGCGATACAAAAATCGGATGGACTTGGTAGAATAACCTTTAAATTTTGTTCGAGCACTCGCTATCGTTTTGCTTTTATAACGATCATTCATTACTCTTTACTTTCAGGAAATAGAGCATAGTTCCTAAAGAATGCAAATGTTGATATTTCCTAAATACAATGCTCTTAATTAATCACACAAATGTCAGTCAAACAGGTCTCATGAAAGTATATTTAGAAGAAAGACCAGGGTCTAACATTTCTTTGATGTTTCAGACTATCACCTTCTTGTTGAAAGATTGCTCGAGTTCAGCCTATTCCAATAAAGAGCAAGAAGAATCTTCTAAATAACTATAGATCAGTCGCTAGCAGTGATATCAAAAATAATAGAGGAAGCCGTAAATCACCATATCCTTGAATATTTGGAAGGCTTCAACATCGGAAACCAAAATTAACAGGAGGCCTTCTATCATATGTCACCCATATTTGGAATAACGCAATCGAGAACCATGAGGAGTCATGAGCTGTTGCGCTTGATATTTCTAAGGCCTTTGACCGATTGTGGCGTGAGGGTTTGCTGGCCAAACTTCGATCCCATGGCTTGTCGAATCAATTTTTGTGTATGGCTCTCCAGCTTCTTGAAAAAGTGTTCCCTGCAAGTAACCGTCGATGGATATCTCTCAAATACTTTACCATCAATGCTGTTGTTTCCCAGTGATCTATATTGTCTCCAACCCTCTTTTTATTGTATATTAACGAAAAAAACTAAAAATTCAATATGTTTGTTTGCTGACTACAGCACACTTATCTGGTCATTCCATTTGCATTTCAAGACATCGGCTATGAATTCACATCTTCATCGGCACCAGGAGGTTGCATATCTTAATAAGGATCTTGAGATGATTTCAAATTGGGCTTCGATACATTCGTTGGGTGTTAAAATGGATACCAATAGGTATGTCCTGGCACAAATCATGTCGCTGGAATTGCAAAGGCTGCTTCTCAAAAGCTTGGAACAGTGTACCGAACCAGAAAACTGTACACACTCCAGCAACTTCTGATGCTTTATCAAGCTCATTAGTTGGACTGGTACAACCAACCAACCAACCAGTCCAGCTGATGAAGCTACCCTGTAGCGAAATGCGTCTCAAATAGAATTTCTTGTGAAAATTAAATTCTATAATAATTTTCATGGAGAGAATATTTTTCAATAAATCAGTATTATTTTACAGATGAATAAGTAGAACTGAAATATGTGGAATAGATTTATATCTAAAAAATATTTTTCAAATGCTGCAACCCACCAGACCCTGAATAATGAAAGATTAAATGAATACCTTTGAAACAAACAAATGACGAATATCTTCTCATAATGCTGATCAAGAAAAAACATGTTAAAATTACAATAAAATATATACTAATGAACGTCAAGATAACCAAGGTGGATTCGTTAATATCAATATTTGTATTCACAACAGATATGTTATGTTGTATGAATATAATAACATTAAATCATTTTCATTAACACTCGCAATCCTTGTGGCTAGAACATGTTGCTTCCGCCACCTCTGGGCGGGGATCTAAACCTTCAGTAATACCTATTTAGTAGATTTCTGTTGCGTTGGATTCATTTTCCAGTCATAGGTAGGTATGTCCCATTAAAATATGTTCAGTTCAAATGATATATTTTGTGTTTCGATCACCAAGTGATCGTTACTACACCACAAGAAACAAACTGAATATCACTGGAGATTTATCCCAACACCAAACCGTTATTTTAACACCTCGACACGTGTTTCGATCACCAAGTGATCGTTACTACACCAAAGGTTTCAAACAGTGCATCACAAGAAAACAAACTATCGAATGGACATCTTGAAGTCTTTATATTCAATACATATCTTCATTCACTAGTAAATCACAATATACAATTACAAACTGTTGCAAAATAGTATATTACACAATTTTTAACGAGTATAAACATGCCTGAAAAAGCTATTGTATAGCGAAACACGTGTCGGGTTTTCGTAAAACTGTGTTGTGAAAATCACACAATGAAATGTTTCTTGAATATATTTTTAGCGTATTTCCTCCCCCCCGTGATATTTCGTGATTTTTTACAGAACCACATCCCCACTCTTTCGAGCCTAAAGTGATTAATGAACGATCTAACAGTGATGAACCAATCTAGTGGAGTAGTCAGAATTTTGATGAATGTTCTGAAATTGAATTGGTGAGATAATTAAATGGTATGATATTCAAATTTCATTCCCTCATAACATTTTTAATGAAAAACTTATTTCGAGCCAATTTTGACATATATCATTTCGAAAAATCGGGAATCCACAATTGGATGTGGTTAGTGGTTTGGTCAGATCGAGAAAAATGCCGCCAATAATATTTTCGCTCTTTGATATTGACAAATAATGAAAGTTGGTACTGAAAACGTCCATAAAATTTGATGTTATAGTACACTTTTTGAATGTCTACCTAATGAAAGGGTTATATATGAGTGAAATACACGCATGAAAAAATTGAAGCGCTAGGAATAAAAACTTACCACACTAGGAATGAAATGAAAAAATATAGATTGGGAAAAATTTGTGAAATGGACTGTCCTGTAAGCTTCAAAAATATTTCCAAAAAACAATTCGAATATTCAGAAAAAAATACATAACAAAAAAATCATAGTGCTCTTCTTACTAGGTATACTCATATAAACTGAAGAGGAAACCATTAGTATTTCCTTCACTTTCTGACTTCCAACGCTTTTGAACTCCAGTTTTGTAACAATTTCATAAAACCTTACCTTCTTGATACATGTTAAAATCATACTTCTATAATTACCTACTTATATAATTACACTTATATGATTTATTTAGTTCCTACCATCACATGATATTGAAGAACAATGAAGAGAATAAAATTTTTCAAGGTTGACCACGCTGAAACTTATAGGATCCAATCTACATAAATAATTGAATTATTATATTATTCCTCCTTGGATGTTATGTGGGTGGCGGATTTGTGAGTAATTTATAGCTCCTCCAGCCAAGTAATTCAATATTTCGACTACTTTTCGTAAGATGGAGTCACTTTCTCCATCTTACGAAATGTAAAGTATATAGGTGTCTAGACACCTATGTATTTTACATGATTGGTTACAAATTATTTAAAATGTCTGATTCGAATTTTTTCTAAGATCATATCTTTCTGGGTAGTTATAATTTCTATATTATTTCAAAAAATCTGCAAACAAATGATGAATATCATAATTTCATTAAAAAAATATTCAATACTCAATGAATACTCAAAATGTTCATCATTCCCTTCCTGACGATTACAAAGTCTTCCATTCATTTCTTACGTTATGAGAGGTTCTTGAGGCACTTTCAATTATTTATTTCATTCAGTTTCTATTGAAATACATTATTTTTTGATCAGTGGACTTTTTCATTGGTTCTGTTTGCAGTGTTACAAAATTAACTGGAAATGAATGCAATGTTGTCAACTTTATATAACTATCAAGGAAATTTCACCCCACCGTGCCTGTTTGTCTATCTGTCTGAACTCTATGAACTCAGAAACTACCGAGTGGATTTTAATATGGTTTTCACTAATGCATATAATGTACATAGATATTGATGTTTTGTGAATTGTTTGGAATATGACGATGTTATCCGTGCGTTATGCGTCTTTTTTGTACCAATTGTTAAGAGTTGATTACCATTGGAAAAATATTTTGAACAATGAATATACCATCGTGGATGTTCAAATCCTATGGGAATTGATCCTAAACACGAATATTCAATTATTTTTCGATCATATGGCTAAAAGACATGATTTCACAAATTTTCAAAACTAAGGTAACTTATATGGTATGCCCACCTATGCCCACTCATTAATGAATTACCCTGATATACAGACTTGACTAGTTTATCAAATGAAATTAGTAGTTAGTTACTCTGTTATTATAACAGAAAACGACATTTTAGTCACGCTTCTATTTGTTGACTGAAATGGGGGCGGTCGCCCCTCCATCATTGATTGTTTTTGAATTTCTGAAAAGGCTGCAGCTTGACAACTTCCCTTTCGATATGCTATTGGTTCCCCAGAAAATAGTGTGCAATCAAAAATAAATCACTTCGTCTATGACCAACATGAGTAATCATTTATCTACATTTTTCTGATAATCTGAAGTCTATAATTTCAGACAGATCAAGTCGAGTCAAATACTTTGTTGCATTGCTTTTGTCTAGTGATTTCAAAGTTATAGATACCAAATTGATATTTTGAACCATATTGATAAAACCAACAGATAGTTAACAGTGATTAAAGAAGGTAAACTATTTTACAACCTCCAGCTAAAAGCCAATTCGGCATAGGTATTGCCTAAAATACATACAATGCGTTCTTAAATGATGTTAATAGTGGCGTTTGTAGGGTTCCTGTCCTACGGAGTGTTCTTTCCAGGGACTATTCTATTAGATAAGAGTATGAAGGAAATACATATATTTTATTTTCGTACCCCCTCCCAACCCCAAGACTGCACCAGTAGATAATATTGCGTAACGCAATTCCCATCTACTTCGCCAGCGGACGGTCGCTGCTATGCAGTTCAATGTTCAATCGTCATTTCGTTCTCAGCAATCGTAGGACGTGAATCACGCGCGCATACTCGGTTTAAGTCACATTTTCAAATTCGTAACTTATTCACTACCGCCAACCAATAAACCGAGTGAACATCAGGATTATCTGCTAAATGATATTCAGAAGATGGAATAGTGTATCTCAGGGTAAAATGGAATGAAACGTTTTGAGTGACATAAACTTTGTGCGACTTTTAGTGTGCTGTGAACGGTGATAAAAGACGGAGTCTCTTGGTGTATTAATTTCAATATTGTTTTCGCGTTTTAATTGAACTGGTAAGTTGACTCCTAATGTTGCCGGTCTTCAGTACCTATCAAAGGTCAAGATATATCACTGTTTCTATCGAATTAGGTTAATGCAGTTGCACGCCTTCAAACGTGCTGTTTTTTGAAACCGATATTACCGTGAGATTATAGCTGCTCACCTTGATACTGAATTTCAATATTCGAAGATTTCAAAAACAAATATTGATCCATCAGATTATCTCTTATTTAGATTTGTCATTTGAATTTACACTTCTCCGGTACTTACGTCATCAGATGTTATTCACGTTTCGAATTTACTCTTTAACCCTTTGTACCAGAGAGTATTTTTGATGGCCCGTTTACGACTACATTTTGAAGAGCTGATTTATCAGCAATTCTTGGAGTCAATATAATAAATTCTGAATTCGTGTAATCGCATCAAAGTTTCCAAGGGCTGAAATAAAACGATGTGGATATTTTACTGCTGACATACTTTGGAGATTACTAAACCCTCAATTATTGCTTTGGCAAATGGGGGTTATAGAATCATAAAAGTAAATTGAAAACAGGTAATGCTTTCTCATCGATGATAAGTAAACATTTGTTTCATATGCAAAAGTACTGACAAATCTTTTCTTCTCCTGCATTCACATTAATAATAAATGAACGAATGGCATTTTTATTTCCAGCATCTCATATACAAATTTAAATTTGTATTGCTGTACTACCCGAGTTGTCAGTTATTGCATGATTTTCATGATACCATATCACTAAACTACCACACGTTTGGCTATAGAATTAAACTTTCTACGGTCCTGTCTGAAGTAATTATACTAATAGGGAAACATGTATAACAGTTTGATAATGTGATTCTGTGCCAAACTTGTAGTGTATTGTATTTTGTAAATATTGTATTGATAAGCGTCTCTACTGCAATTTTAGTACTGATTACTTCAGTGATCAAGAGAAATGATTTTTAATATGAACCCTGTATTTAAATAGGAAGATTGGACACAAAACACTGCTGTTATGACAGGTTGTCAACTACAAAAAATGAATGTTGTAATATGTTAAACCAAACAAATATTATTCAACAATATAAGGGGATTTTTCATCATCACTTGTTGAAAATTTCTGGTTACTATTTTACTGCATAAATAGTACATTCAAGTCTATTTTTCGTATGAACGAAATTTCAACATCATTTTATTTTAATTTTTTATATTGTGTATAATTTATGATGTGAACATTAGGGGACACTGACTCTCTACCAGAAAAATTCAACCGATATCATGTACCTGCATTTTTCAAAAGTTTTAGATTAGGTTCCCATTAGCAAGATATACAAACACGTGCATACGAGGGAAGTTTTTGAGAACATACTATGTGGCAAACAGAAGTTTCAGAGTGAAAGTTGACAAACTCATTCTCTCTCGACATTGTAGTCACAAGTGGCGTTCTCTAGGGATCTATTCTCGAACCATTCCTCTTTGAAATGTATGCAAGTGGTAACACTCACCGCCTAAAAAGTCACGAATGTTTCTACACCGATGACACGAAAAACTACTCAATTGTACTAACAAGTTATCACATCATACCTGAACACCATCTCTAACTGATGGAATAACTGGCTAGTGTCACTGAATACAGAAAAGTACGTTGTTCTATAATTTTGTTCCAAGTCTAAGTACTTGGGAAGAAATTGTAAAAAATCTGTTTTTTCGTTAACCAGTTGCCGCCCCCTACGAACGACAACTGTACATATTGTTCTTCTTCCACAGTTACATAAAAAGTATGTGTAGCATAGGGTGGTAGTTGAAATGAAAAGATAGTCTACAAATTATAAGAAGTCAACGGATCTTGCTTCATATACCCATACGAATGGATAGCCCCACCAATACAAAAAGTCTTCGAATGGTCCACGATGTTTCAGAACATTCCAACCCATTCAATACTTCTCTGGGATGTTTCATAATGACCTTGGATGTTCTTGAACATTCCAGACTTTTCCCGAATATTTCACAATTTTTCAAAATATTCCAGTATATTCGGGAATGTTGTGGAATGCTCTTGAATGTTCTGGACTGAAATTTTTAGACGGAGAAACTATCCGCTCTCGCGTCTTCAAAAGCATGAATATTCAGATGAAAACGGAAACCCTCCTCTTGGATGTGAGATAGAGGGTTATCACACTATGTAACCCTCTTGAAAATTCCACACTAATCTGGGATGCTCCCGAAGATTCCAGAATATTCCAGGATCTTTTGGTATGTTCTGGACTGTTCTAGGATATTCTAGACGGCGAAAATTTCAGCTCTCATGTTTTCAAAAGCACGCCTTTCAGTTGAAAATGGTAACTTTTTTCATATATGATAGATATGGGGACTGCTTGATCATTCCACAATGATGTGGAATGTTTATTATTGAAGTTTTTTACCGAACATTTCACCACATTGTAGAATGTACCGAGATGTCCTCCAATACTCTCGAATGTTCAGGACATATCTAGAAGTTTCTAGACGGCGAAACTTCCACCCGGTACCTCTTTCATAGAAAAGCAGCACATGCTATTGTGACACTATGACAAAAAAAATGTGAGCATATGTGTTCTTGTTCATTGTGCGAAGCCGGTTCCGGGCGCTAGTTAATTACAAATCGAACAACAAATATGGAAAATGCCAACTAGCACATGGTCGGGTGAAATACTTGAATCTTCGTTTTCATTCGTTAGCATAACATGATTTACAAATATAATGAAGAACTAATTCTCAGGAAAAATGGAAAATGTTAACTAGGTACGTTTTTGATATTAGTACCTGATGTGATAATGATAAACCTTCCAAGATTCCTAATTGAAAACCAGTCATTTTTTCCACTTGATGAAGCTCTGCAATTTCACGGTCGCGCTCCTCAAATTTAGTATACAACAGTATTCTCCACAGAGTAACCGTTATGTCCGGCTACCTCCGTATAGCTCCACTCTTTTCTCGAGATGAATCATACGTGCTTCTCTGACCAATCTCTGTTTAGAAAGCACTGCTCTGACCGTTCGTTGCAGTGATTTGGTAATAGTAGATTGGTCGTGCAATTGATTATTCGAAACAGGGTCATTTAATACAATGCGATTGTGGCCTGATTTTTTAAATTTGTCTTTTTCTTGCGTTCATCACTCGATTCTGGTGTAGGTATTTTCAGGAGAGATTAATTTTTGGGAATGAAAGTTTTTGGCCTTCTACTTCTCCATCTTGATACAAAAAATGTGGGAATCTTCCAAAGAAAGAAAGGAAGCAATCAATTTAAAAAAAAACTCTATACAAAGATGTGTAGATCATGCAAAGAAATAACTTTCAGACAGAAACTGGAAGAAAAAGCCCCTTCGAAACAGCTATTTTCATTAAACATTGAATTACACAAAAGAATAATACTTTCGAAACAAATACTTTTATATTAACGCTGAAATATACGAAAAACACTTTTCTCTATTACGTTTGTATTCCAAATATTCGTATGGGATTGAATCAGGTATCATTCACAGGATTTCTACACAATATAATCAATGAAAGAAGTAAAATGTAACTAACATGGAATACTGATAACATTATGAGAAAAAACACTCAAATTCGTTCATAATTACGAATTTTTTGTCACGGAATGGATTGAATCCACCCATGTCATCGATGGCAGTGCGTAAATAACATTCATTCGCTTTTAACTTTTTTAACGGCTCGAGCTATTTTTTGAAAAAAAAGAATTAGTTGCCTTTGTTTTCTGATCATGAATCTGTAGTCGAAACTTAGCGTTTCGGTCTAAAAATCGACTATTTCAGGAACTCGTAAAATGACACTTCTTTTCACGATCGCATGCTGCGGACAGACCTTACTTGCCACTTCCATTTTTTTCTCCATACAAAATATTTGATTATCATAATTTTTTGTACTGAAAACCACCTACCTAGAAGATTGACTGCTGAGCTGCTGAACAATTTTGGGTGGATTCTTGAGGCACTACAATTTTTTTTGTAATTGTCCTTGATTGACCCCTAAATGAGATCGTCGAGATTTGGTTGAAAGGCCCCTGCCAATCGTTGACTTTTTTTAAGAGACAAAGGTTTTGAAGCATTTTGAAATATTTATATCTTCAAGTTGAATATTTAAGGAATTTATAAACAAAAAAGCCAGACCGATTAGTCGGGTCTTGATGTTACCCAGACTGTTGAAAATTAAAATTTGAAAAATCATTTTCCAATACCTACGTACCCAAAATTATTCACCAGTTCTCACATCAAATTCTTACACAAGATGAATTTTATAGAGGTGGAATTTAAGGGATTTCAGAATTTTTCGAATAATCGTACGACTTATGCCAGGAACCGTAGATAAATGCCTGGTATTATTTATTGTAAGATCGATACTGACCTGGCCCAACATTGGCTAAAAGTCCAATAAAGTATTTCTTAAATAACATGTAACATTAAGAGTTGGATTTCACTCCTTTAAGGGTTTGGAAGTGACGATGTTTATAATAGATTCTAAATAAAAATCGACGTGTCCGAGCACATTTTTTTCTGAACGTCATTTATGAGAAACTGGCTTTGTTTTGTTTTCAATGACTCACATTATATAAACTCGTACAATAATCTTTAAAAAAAATAATACGAAAGCCGTGATTTTTATTGGTTAATGAGTAATTATACTTCATATATCACAGTTAAATTTAAATAACCTCATTTACAATTGGAGAAGTTAACTTATCAGGTAAGTAAATGTTTTTATTTCAAGAAACTGAAATTATATCTGACGCAGCGCAAATGTTCTAGTCACAATGCACACCCTCCATTGAAAATATTGCTTTCAAAGTCTGTATTATCTAATTTTTTATGCTACCAGAATAGTCAAAGCATCACGTGAGTACTCTCCTCGGTGTCAATGAACATGAAAGTATAGAAATGATGAAGCAGACCTACGAACGCGTTAGAAATAAGTAATTTTCAAATGGCAGAAGGCTCATGAACCGTGAAGGCAGTTATTTCA